TATATGCACAACTCAAGGACACAGACAATGGTGGGTAGAGGGACTGGGGAGGGGGATGGGACAGGGTGGAACGGGTCATTTAGAAGAAAAAGGGACATCTTTAATATTTTAAACAAAAATAAAATTTAAAAATATATATATAAAAAAGAAATTACTAGTTCAATCTTAGACATAGTGAATTTGAGATGATGATAAATTGAACTACTCTCTCACCTAGGTTCTAACAGTACCATGTATCCTGTGCACAAAATTTTATTTCTTAGTAATCATTGCATTGTGCTGTATTTAGTTGTTAAGGATTTTTTCTTCGTTATTAGACCATAAAAATCTCAAGGGCAGGAACCCAACAAGTAATTATTTAATGACTAAATAGCAAAAAAATCCAACCACCCAGTTTTTGTTTATTTTGTTTTTTTAATCCTCACCCAAGGATATGTTTTTATTGATTTTAGAGAGAGAGGGAGAGAGAGAAGCATCAGTGTGAGAGAGAAATATCAATCAGTTGCCTCCAGTACACGCTCCGACCAGGGATCAAACCCAAATCCTAGACATGTGCCCTGACCGGGAATCAAACCCACAACCTTTTGGTGTATGGGATGATGCTTCAACCAACTGAGCCACCTGGCCCAGGCTGGTTTTGTTTGTTTGTTTGTTTAAGTCAGCTGGCAATACCATAGGGCAGCCTAAGAGACAGATGACAGCTAGAGAGGAAAATGGCAAGCAAAGTCACATAAATCATTTTCAGCCTAAGTTCCTGGGCACTTCTGGCTCTCTTTCTGTTGTAAATAATCCCATAGCGGACACCTAGATTTCTTAATAATATATCAGCATCTACGTATCAGATTATATATCAAAAACATAGATGGTTTACGCATTTTCTGGGATGTGTCTCTCCTGTAAAAGTCAATAAACATCCAAAGTCTACTTTTTAATTTGGCTAACACAAATACTCATGGAGTTGAGCTGAAGTATTTAATACCACAGACAGAATCAGAATGAAATAGTGGGGTAAACCTGGTGAAGACTTTGTTCCCTATGCATGTGCAATATTATGGAAATAACAGAGACAGACACACATAAATATAGAAGCAGAGAATCATGCCTTTTAAGTACAAATAATGATGTTTGGGTTGGCCTACCAACCAAGTCACCAAATTTGACCGTTTCCAAAATGCTTCACCCTTCAAGGATGAAAAAC